CCCCTTAGAGGAGGGCTGGAGTGGGAGGCGGTGCCGCCTGTCCACCCGCTGCCCACTGCCTGGAAGACAGAATTGCTGGCACACAACTTACGGAGCGTAACTTGTTTGGCGGTTCTTTGTGACTTCACTGGAGTGTTCTGGGTATAACCGTGTCGGAATCCCTTCCTCTTCCCCAAAGGCTAGGAACCTCTTGAAGTACAAACTCTTAAGCAGAATAATTTTAAATATTTTTTTTCCTTTCTTGTTCCCTTGTGTCTGCTCTCTTAGAGCAAAGAGAACGAGAAACAACTTGGATCGTGTGGGTTCTTCTCACATCCGACAGATGGAGGTCATGTACGCACCTTCCTCCCTGGCAGGCAGGGAGGCGCTGGGCTCCCGGTGGCCTCTGTTTCTGAGGATGAGGGTTTGCTTGTTGTCGTGAATGTGGATGGAAGAAAGGGTGCTCCCGCATCACAGCCAGCCAGGGAAGCCCCCGCACTGAAACACCCACCCCTGGCTTTGGGGCTCTTTTCACAAGACAGATGTAGACCTACATCGTTACAGGTGGATAATGGGGACCCCAGAGTAAAGTCTATCCATATGCATCCCACAAGTTTTATGTGAGGAGGGTGACAGGAAATTGCTTCTTTTTCTAAATGCTGCATTGGGACTGTGCAGGAAAAATAGTTAACAGTAGGGGCGCCTGGGTGGCTTAGTCGGTTAAGCGTCCAACTTTCGCTCAGGTCATGATCTCGCGGTTCGTGGGTTCGAGCCCCACGTCGGGCTCTGTGCTGACTGCCAGCTCAGAGCCTGGAGCCTGTTTCAGTCTGTGACTCCCTCTCTCTCTGACCCTCCCCTGCTCACTCTCTCTCTCTCTCTCTCTCTCCTAGAAATAAATAAAAATATTTTTAAAAAATAGTTAACAGTAATAATAGATGATAGTGATAATAATAATAGTGATAATACTATCTTTTGTTGAATGTTTACTATTTGTGAAGTGTTTTACATGTACATTTAGTCCTTATAAGAACCTAATAACGTGATAAATTACATGTATTATAATTCTATATACATATAGAGACCAAATAAAATCCCGGTTTTGAGTTGATGGATCTGACAGTTGAGTATTTAATTTACTCACGGCTGCTCAGCAGTTAGGGTTTGGGTTTGACTCCCATGTGACCGCTAAATAGTTCTGCGACCTTGGGCACATTAGGTAATCATCACACCAGGGGCCCATAAGAAATGATGATTACTGATGACACCAAATCAGTCTGAGGAGGAGAGGGTCCCGGCTCTGGGCGCCCTGTCTCCAGGCACGTCGGTGCTTGGGTTCCCATGTTGGTTGGAGACCTTGACTCACGGCTACATCTGATGTGGTCTGTCCAGGAGAGGAGAGGGGCTCGGGGCGGCTGGTGAGCCCAGAGCAAGGGAGGGGCCTGGGGAAACGGAGGTTCGCGTCCCCACATTGGTCTTCCCGATCTGTTTTTGGCCCCAGCCATTTAAAAAATATATGTCAGTGGGGGCACCTGGGTGGTTCAGTTACTTGAGTGTCTAACTCTTGGTTTCAGCTCAGGTCATGATCCTGGGGTCATGGGATCGAGCCCCATGTAGGGCTCTGTGCTGAGCGTGGAGCCTGCTTGAGATCCTCTCTCTCTCTCTCTCTCTCTCTCTCTCCCTCCCCTTCTGTCCCTCTCCCCGCTTTGCATGTTCTCTCTCTCTCTAAAATAAAAAATAAATAAACAAAAATAAAAATAAATGTCAATGAAGTCCTTTGAAGACCTTGAAGTCTGGTTCACGCATTCCGCCCACCAGCATGTATGTGCTGGTGCCAGTCACCAGCTGAGTGCGGGGAAATAGGGACGCGGGGAAACGGGGAGGGAGGGGCCCTGGGGCCACCCTGGAGAAGCTCGGACTCTCACATCTGCATTTGGGTCACAGTCTCATTCGGCCACTTGTCAGCTCTGCCTTTCTCCCCCCACGTTCTGTCTTGAGTTCATTTTGACACGCATCGCTGATGTGGTGACCTACATCCAGGTGGGGCTGTTGTGGCCGATTACGTACGCCACTCGCCACTCCGTGGTGGAGCACCCTGTCAGACGCTGGGAGCCCTGCGGAGAGGGAGCACGGCCCCGGGGAGAGGGAGCAGGGCCCCGGGGAGAGGGAGCACGGCCCCGGGGAGAGGGAGCACGGCCCCGGGGAGAGGGAGCACGGCCCCGGGGAGAGGGAGCACGGCCCCGGGGAGAGGGAGCACGGCCCCGGGGAGAGGGAGCACGGCCCCGGGGAGAGGGAGCACGGCCCCGGGGAGAGGGAGCACGGCCCCGGGGAGAGGGAGCACGGCCCCGGGGAGAGGGAGCACGGCCCCGGGGAGAGGGAGCACGGCCCCGGGGAGAGGGAGCACGGCCCCGGGGAGAGGGAGCACGGCCCCGGGGAGAGGGAGCACGGCCCCGGGGAGAGGGAGCACGGCCCCGGGGAGAGGGAGCACGGCCCCGGGGAGAGGGAGCACGGCCCCGGGGAGAGGGAGCACGGCCCCGGGGAGAGGGAGCACGGCCCCGGGGAGAGGGAGCACGGCCCCGGGGAGAGGGAGCACGGCCCCGGGGAGAGGGAGCACGGCCCCGGGGAGAGGGAGCACGGCCCCGGGGAGAGGGAGCACGGCCCCGGGGAGAGGGAGCACGGCCCCGGGGAGAGGGAGCAGGGCCCCGGGGAGAGGGAGCACGGCCCCGCGGAGAGGGAGCAGGGCCCCGCGGAGAGGGAGCACGGCCCCGGGGAGAGGGAGCACGGCCCCGCGGAGAGGGAGCACGGCCCCGCGGAGAGGGAGCAGGGCCCCGCGGAGAGGGAGCAGGGCCCCGGAGAGAGGGAGCACGGCCCCGCGGAGAGGGAGCACGGCCCCGCGGAGAGGGAGCACGGCCCCGCGGAGAGGGAGCACGGCCCTGCGGAGAGGGAGCACAGTGGAATACAGCCCCTGCCTCCAAAGGAACTCTGCTCGTCAGGGCCCCCAGGCCTCCTGGGCTCCTGACCCGCTCCCCTGCTGCTCCCTCCCTCTACCTCCACCTGCACAGACCATCCCTTTCCTGATCTATGTGAGGCCCCGCCTCCAGAGTAACCGCCAACCAGCTTGCTTCCTGTCCGTACCCCCGTTCCTCAGGTGGGCGGGGCCTTCTTCCCTCTTGTTGTTTGGTGTCCTGGCATACCAGGATCCCACAGACTGGGTGGCTTCCACAACAGGAATTTCCATCTGCAGTTCTGGAGGCCAGAGGTCCAGGATCAAGGTTTGGGCAGGGCTGGTTTCTCTGAAGCCCTTCTCCTTGGCTCACAGATGCCACCTTCTCCTCGAGTCGCCCTCGGTGCTTGCCCTCGTCACCTCTTCCTGTAGGACCCCAGTCATATTGGGTCAGGGCCGATCCTAAAGTCCTCATTTAACTTAATTACCTCTAATTAGCCTGCCTCCAAAGAGGGCCACACTTTGAGGTGCCGAAGGCGAGGGCTCCAGCAGAGCAGTTTTGGGGGGTACACAGTGTTGCCTGTAACACTTTGGAACTTGCTGTTTGCCACCTGTATTAGAGCGTCAGCTCTCTTAGGGCAGGAAACTGATGACATTGGGCATGGTCACTCTGAGCCATGCCTAATATGGAGTAGGACCCCCAGAAACACTTGTCAGATGAGTGATTAAGTTCCAGTATCATTTCTTCCTTACTGTCCATTCCAAAGGATGAGTAGGGTTCATGGACTGAAGTTCGAAGGAGAGGTTTATTTTTTCCACCCTGATGTAATGAATCAGACTTCTCTGATCCTGGAAAGAATTTGCTGGATGAAAGCACATGAACACATCCACATACAACATTACCATTTTGGGGCCATTTATTTAAAAAAGGAATTTCTTTCTGGATAATCTCTCTTCTTGGCTATAAATGTAACACTGAAAAAGGCAGGGCCCAGGTATTTACCCCATGGTGTCAGAGCGAGGGTAAAAGGAGACCTTGCTTGCAGTGAGCTAAACCCAGCACCCTAGAAGATGTGCAGTCGCATTTGTAGGAGTCTTCTGTAAACCCACTGAGCTGGAATTTCCAGGCAGTTGCCTCATTGCCTCTTTTCAGCCCTTTGTAATTTTGCTTTGTATTTGTTTACTACCAAAGGCCCACCAGATGGTGATTGTGGAATCACATATGCGCTACCCTACATCCCTTCCCAGATTCCTTAACCTGGCTCGGAAGGAATGAGGGAGGGACCCAGACGATCTCAGAAAATGGTCCAAGGCTCTACCGTCTTTAAGAAAACCACACAGAGCTATCGCCCTGTGTAAAAAGTCAGCTCTGTGGCTCGCTGGGTTGCCCAGTGGCAAGAAGCTGATTTAGGTGATGGGGAGTCATGCCTCGGCCCCAAGGCAATGATGGCTTTTCTACTTCTATCCAGGAAGAGTTCTTGTGCCCAGAGTGGAAACTCTAGAACAGTGCTGCCCAATAGAAATGTAACGTAGGCCACATATGTAATTGTAAATTTTCTTAGTTGCCATGATGAAAAAGTTAAACAGATAAGATTAACCTTAATAACGGTTAACCCAGTATATTGAAAATATTATCATTTCAACATGTAATCAGTAGAAACATTATTAATGAAATTTTTATTTTTTTGTACTTGGTTTTTGAAGCTTGGGGTGTATTTTAGCCACATTTTACGTGCTCACGAGCACATGTGGGTTGTGGCTGCCATATTGGACAGCTGCCGTATTGATCTAGCATCAGACCACCTAATGGGGGTTGCTTCGGGGGTCAGAGTGTGAATTCATTTATATGAACACACTTCTTTAACCAACGAGTAGTCAGAGTACAGCTTCTATCACCTGAGGTTCTGAAAAACACTTTAGTGTTTATTGTAAAGGTTGCCCTCATGGTTCAAATAGGAAGCATGCTTCTCAGTGTCCCGAGCTGGGGTTTCTGGAGCCCAGGTGGCCGTAAACATGGTGGTGAGGCCTGTGAAGTCTCTTCAGCGTCTCAGAAAGCTTTTGTCATTTTTGTCATTGTCAGGCTTCCCGGGGTCAGGCCACAGGGCGTGGGGCCGAGCGAGTGGGAAGGAGGCTCTTGGGGCTGGAGAGGCCCACGTTTCCGGTGTCCGTGCTCTCACCGTGGCTCAAGCACAGACCTTCCAGGGACTCATTCGTCAGCCCCGTTAACACCCAGAGGTCCTCGAGGGTCCAGAAGGTAGATGAAGTGAGTCATCATTATTACCCACGAGGTGCTTCCTGTGTTGAAGTTAGGGCGTAAGCATTTCCCATGTGCCACAAATAATGCTCTCCGCGGGTGTGGAAGGCCTGGGAGACGCAGCTCTGGCCGGCCGGCCTTCTCCTCTGCCTCCAGCTGCTCTGCTGGGGGGCTTCCCCCGTTCCCAGAGCAGGGAGCCATGAAGAGAGCACGGGGTAGGGGTGGGGGACGGCCACTGGAGGCGTCCTGAGGCTCTGGCCGCCCTGGGTGTGGGAGCATCCCAGCGGCTTCGGCAGCCCATCCAGCGCTGGGTGGTGCGGACCACCCGCCCTTGCCCAGGTCTGTGCCTGAGCAGTCGCAGGCATCTCATGTCCCCCACTTCCTCCTCCCCTCAGGGGCTCAGAGTCCCCTGTTCCTTTGGGTGTCCAGTTTCTTATTCCACTGGTGAGATACCCAGCCTGTGTTTTTATTCTTTTCTTCCGTTGTATCCAGCCTTTAGCCAATCTGCGCCCCCCACGCCACCACTAAAGGTCAGGGAAAAGCAAAGGAGGGGAAATGGAAAGCAGCCAGCTTTCTGTTTATCCACAACCAAATGGGGAAGATGCTGTAATAAGGGGCTGAATGGCTGTGCTGATTCCTTCCTGCTATCCGGCTCCGTCCGCCCGTGGTCCGTACGCTCTCCCCTGGTGTCCCTCCCAGCGGGCTTGGCTCCTCCAGCACGTTGGAGTCTGCGCTAGTTGCATTTAACAGTGATGCTCATCTGTTAGGCTCTCCTGAACCTGACATATTTTCCTCTTTCACCCTAGACTTCCCCAGGCTGGATGTCCTTCTTCCCATCCTCCTGGTAAGAAAATGTCAGGATATATAGCAGATGATGGCCTTACCTCATCAGTTAATGAGCCCCAAAGTTCCATAAAACTGGGTTACAACCAAGGTAGTGCTGGCAAGAGAGAGACATGTCGTCAAAGAAGTTTGGGGCCATTTTATTACTGACAAAGCCATAATGAGCTCCTAAAAGATGATAAGCATTTGGCATCAGGGACCGTCTCGTTCTCACCATGTATTCAGTGCCAAGCAGAGTAATTGACATTGACTCATCACTCAGTAAATGTTCACTGAATGTTAGAAGCTGGGCTATGTCCAAGATGAACATATGCTCAAGAGAGGCTACTAGAAGTTTATAGTGTTAGCCTTTACATATAAGTCAGTGATCTGTTTTGAGTTCATTTCTGTGTGTTGTCCAGGACATTGTAAACCAGGTATGAGTAAAAATATTCTGTTTGATTGTAATTGTAAGTAAATGAATTTTACTTACAGACCACGTGGCCTGAAAGCTTGAAAAACAGTTACCAGAAAGGTCCTCCATGTTACGTTTAGCTCATAGCCCTCCACCTCCCCCTGCCAAGTTTGGGGTTGTTGTGGCTACGTCTGGGGCGGAGGCCCGACACCTCCAGCCAGCCCTCCTCGGGGTGCTGGTGAGGGCGGCGCTCAGCTCACACTCCTGGGCTCGGAGCTAAGGCGTCTGTGGATGGAGAAGCCCACCTCCCCGTTCTGGCTGTCCCACCGCTGCTGCTCGAGGTTTCATTCCTTCCTCATTTTCCCTGTTCCCGTCTGGCCGCAGTGAATGTCTTTGGGTGCCTGACTGTCATTCCTGGACGACAAGTTCTATCTGTGGCTTCGCTGGGTCCAGCCACTAAGCGTCCCACCGAGGTTGGCTTTGGTCACTAGTGCCGCTGTCCCCTTCCTCTGTCCCATCCGTCTGGAAGTCGGATGCAGAAGACACTGGGCTTGGCTTGGTCCCTGCACCTCGTCGCCCAGCCCTGTGTTTTTGCCGTCGTGCAGGTCAGCAGAGCAGAGGCTGATCGTTTTTATGAAGAGCCTCTGACAACACCCCAGATCCCTGTTTAAATCACATTGACAACATGAAGAATGTTATCTCTGATACCAGCATTTCCGGCGTTAGAGGGTTTTTCCGCATGGGATGGTAACGGGTTTTATGTCAATAACAAAATGAAGTTTCACATTCAAATAAATATTGGAAAATACTACATTGAACATTGGACGGGTTTGTTTATTCCCTCACCTCCTAGAGCTTTAGAAGCCCGAGAACAAGGGGAATACAGTCTTCGGCATTTCCCAAATGTGCTTGATCACAGAATGCTTTTGTCTCCCGAACTTCAGAAGAGGTTGCTACATTGTCGATGTGTTTTCTCTAAGTAATTCAGCTTCGCACCTTCCTGTCCCTTTTCCTCCCTTCCACACAGTTACCTCACATTTTAATAATAGAAGTTAGTGATATTTCACATCTCGGGATTTTTCTCCAGGTCCTTCTCGTCGACAAGACCTGTTTAAAGTTCTGGCAGGCCCCGTGCCCATCTCCAGGGCTCTCGCCCCTTCTGGATGTCCATCAACCCTGCGGTGACTTAATTGTTTTGCTGTATTTTTAGTGGCTTCCCACACTGTGGAGGACTTTCTGAGAGCGCATATCTCGTGCTAAATTTAGCTGGGCTTTCAGCAGGCTTGATTGATTGCTGGTCTTAATGGAAGAAAATGTGGTCCTTTTTCCTCCTCCCCATCATTAGATTTTTACTGATTTATGACCATAGGAAGCAGCCACTGGCTAAGTGGGTGTCTTTTTAAAACTTGTGACACATCACCAAGATGGATATATGTTTGCCCCTTCACTTCAACAGGCATCTGTTGAATGCCTCTGAGTGCAAACGTGGTGCTGGCCTGGGGCCGTAAGGCTGTGGCTGAAGGGCCGAGCTCTAGCCACACCCGTCCACACCCGTCCCCGCCCAGACTTAATGCGGAGAAAGCGGCTAAAAGAAGCCCAGAGGATTAACAGACATTCCAAAAGACCAGCCCCGCAGAGGAGTGGAAACGGGTATTGGGATTCAAGGCTTGAGTGAAGGTCACGCTGGGTCTTGGACTTCTGTACACCTGTCCAGTGTAGTTACTGACCAAGGGTTAGCAGCTGCCCTTCGGTGAGCTCTGGGTGAGTGAGGGCCAGTCAGGCGTGTGACTTCCACCTCTGCGCTCCCTGGCCTGCTGACCTCAGGCACACTTCCCACCCCCCGGGCCCCCCAGTTTCCTCCTCTAGGGAATGGACATAACATGGGATCAGAGTGAGGATTAGCGGAGGTGACTTGTGCCCAGGGGGTGCTTGGCACATAGCTGGTGCTCCTTTCATTTACTTTCCCTTCCTTGGGCTCCTGGGGGGCCTGGGTGTACCCTGCACTGCCGGGGGCCTGCGCAAAGGCCGGGTTGGCTGATGCAAACAGGGACGTGCCTCCTGTTGTGGATAGTCCTGGGCTGGGGTGGCTGGAGGGGACTGGCAGAGAAACTGATTGGACTCCTCTGGTCTCAGGATGCCCGTAAAGCTGTGGGTGAGAGGACAAGGCGTGGAGATACCTTACAGATGGCAAGGACCTCAGAGCAATGAGTCCATGCCCGGAACATTCCATCATGGGCACATACCCTCAAGCCAGTGACCCTGCCTCTCATATTTCTCTCTTTCTGTGTATATACAATTTATTTTTAACTTCATACCTTCTTAAAATGTATTTTTAATCTTTTTTTAAAATTTTGAAATAGTCGAACTGTTACAAATTACAAATCACAAACATGGCATATAGGAAGTTCTCACCCTTTACGCACTGATAACATCTTACCTATCTAGTACGTTACCAAAATTAGGACATTGGCATTAGTGTAATACCATAATTTTTTCTTTTGGAAGGAGTACCCAGCTCAAGACTAGGAATGTATTTGTAGCACAAATTTTGAGCTGCCTACTTTAGCTCTGTTTCGTTGAGATGAGGCCTGGGACCCTGAGGCGGGTCAGCCACAGTCTCGTCCGAGAGGAACCGGATCTGGACCAGATGGGTTTCCGGTGTTTATCAGCTTTGGCTTGTGGCTAATCCTGCTTGTTCTTTGCAGCCTTATGAGGTAGTGAGTGTGTTATCAGAAGAGATATTCAAGCATGAGCTCTAGGATCCCTGTCCCCAGCACTTAGAGGGAGCTTGGACCAGATGCTCCTTGAGTGTCTTACCCCTTCAGATTCCTGTCCTTCTCCCAATTGCTTGGGCAGAGTTTGCAACTGACATTGATTAGAATATGAGTCAAGTTTTACTGCATGTTGCTGTAGTTCCAAAGTGATTAACTTCCTGGGCTGTGGTCTACTTAATTCACATGAATTAAATCCTGACACTGCATACCAGACAGTGTTCTCGACCTTGGAGTACAGAGGTGGAGACCTTGTGAGTGCGGGCAGCATGCAGTGAGTACGGACACACAACTCTAATGTAAATAAGTGTCCTAGTACATGCGGGTGTGAAGTCCTGACAGCCTCAGGGAAGTAGTTTTACAAATATCTGCAAGGCCAGGAGGGTGCAAGTTTGAGAGAAGAGCTAGACCACAGAAGATGGGTTGGAATGTGCTGGGTTGATGAGGAGTTGAGGGTAGAATCCAGGGATGCGAAGACATTCTAGGGAGAGGACACGGCACGTGAAGGTCCTGTGGCATGGCCTCTGCAGGCATGGGAGATGTTGAGAAACCTTGGTGTGACAGATTGTAGGTGCCGGGGGTAAAGTAGTGGCTGAGCATGAAGCCAGATTAGAATTGGCCACTGCCTTATGCGGATGACAAATGTCAGTGCTACTGTGAGCTTTGAGAATTATACTTTTGAGTCATGCCAGTGAGAAGCTTTTAAACTATCCAAGGATCATGCAATTGTGAGAAATTAGCTCCCCAAAGTGGGGTTGGCCGGCGATTTTGCCCTGTCCTGAAGCAGCTGCCTCGATTCCCTGGAGTCCCAGCATTTCTCCGCTGGGCTGGGCTACCCCTGGCCTTGGCCGACCTCCTTCTCAAGAGCACAGCGAAACCCAACAGGATGCTCCTCTCAAGTGTCTGGCAGCTTCCCGGGCTGCCAAGGGCTATTCTGGCTGCTGCTATTCTTACGTGTGAGTGTCTGAAAGATTCACAAATCGGATCTCGGCTGGGTGGGA